ACGGCTTTGATCAAAATAAATCTTGTGACTTCACTAAAAGTGAAAGAATATATGCGGATCAGCGTCGTTTTTTGCCAATATCTTCTAAAGAAAAATGAGAAGTAATGAAGTGAAAGATCGAAATTGGTTAGTATATTCTGAAAGTAACAGATCTGTATATTGTGGTCCGTGTTTGGCATTTGGTCCATTGGAGTGTAGAACCCAATTTGAGAACGGAGGATTCAATGACTAGAAAATTACAGATCATCGAGTAGCTCAGCATGAAAACTCTGCGCGTCATAAATCTAGTATTCTTGGTTTCTTCTAAGATTGATGACCGACTTAATAATTTATTGCAGGTCCAGATTGATGAAGAAATAACTTACTGGAGAAACGTTCTAATGAGAGTTGTTGCTGTCGTGAAGTGATTATGTTCAAGAGGTCTCGCTTTTAAAGGGGAAAATGAAAAATTTGGAGATCCACATAATGGAAATTATTGTATGGATTTGGACCTATTACCGGAATTCTATCCTTTTATGGCTCATCATATTGAACGGTTTGGAAATCAAGGATCGGGGAGTACCAGTTACTTATCAAGGACCACTTGCGATGAATTTATTCTCTTGATAGGTCAGAAAGTTTTAAAGAAGATTGGAGACGAAATAAAAAAAAATAAATATTTTTCCCTAATCATCAATTCAACACCACATATAGCCCACATATATCAATTCACGCTCGTTATTAGATACGTTTTGGATTCTGATAAACCAAGTGAAAGATTTCTCAAAATTTGGCCGTCAGTAGGACATAAAGTTGAAGAAATCTATTTTGCCGTTACTTTAAAACTAAAAACACTGGGTATAAATACTGAAGACTGTCGCAGACAGTCATATGATAATGCCGCGAACATGTCTGGTGTGTACAATGGCTTGCAACCGAAAACTCGCGACCAAGCACCTTTGGCCTTTTACGTGCCTTGTTCTGCTCATTCTTTAAATCTAGTAGCAACTACAGCTGCTGAATCGACTACAGAAGCTTGTCGCTTTTTCATATTGTTACAGGAAATCTACGTCTTATTTGTAAGCTCCACACAAGCTGGAAAAAATTAATGAATCAAATCGGCAAAAACAAAAGCGTTAAAAGAGTAATTTTGACATGTTGTTCAGCTATCCTCGCATGCAAACGTTTGAAAGAATCTTGGCATGAAGTTCTTACAACTTTGGAATTAATCAAGGATGAATGCACCGAAAAGCTTGTGACACGACAAGAAGCGGTAGGGATATTTTCGAATTTGCAAAAACTGGAAACGGCAGTAATGATTGCTGTATGGAAGGTTTTTCTTGAGAGAATAAACAAAGTGAATGTTCAAATTCAGACTTCTAATATAAATTTGATCTCTTTACGAATCACTTCGTAAGTTTTTCATAGTTGAACGAGAGAGTTTTAAGTATTTTGAAGATAAGGCAATGGAATTGAGTGTATCAAAACAATATACAAAAGAGATGGGAAAACGACAACCAAAAATAAACAAGAGATTTGATGAAACTCCCGAATATGATATTCGAATGGCTGCAAGTGATCACTTCAGGGTTAACACATTTCCCGTTCTCATAGATAGACTCATATCCGAATTAGCAAAGCAGCAAAAGGCTTACGGATTTAACGAGAAATTTTAATTTCTTACTAAAATGAATGAGTTGTCACCATCAAGTCTGACAGAAAAAGACTTTTGGAAGAAACATATCATAATGATTTAAAAACAGACTTAGTTCAAGAATGGGTACACTTTTAAGCCTACCTGTCCTCTGAAAGAATTTTAAAAGGGATCATTGAAAAGTCTGTCTTCGTTCATGCGACAACAAAATTTAAAAAATATTTATCCAAACTTGAATATGGGATATGGCACTTCGTATTGCTTTATGTACACCAGCAAAAAATTGTTCTGGTTAGAGAAGTTTTTCCTGCTTGAAGAGAGTCAAGAATTATCTACGATCGACTTTAAGTCAAGAAAAGCTAAACACTTTGCTCTTTTATGCATACTTGTAAAGTCAGAACTAATCAACAAGATTTCATTCGACGACATAATCAATGATTTTGCGAATTCAAAGTCCCGCAGAAAGTTATTGTAATGCTTTTATGATTTAACCTCATTTTTAATACTAACAGATAATTAAAAAAGTAGAATTATAATTCTGTTTTTAGATTGTAATTGTAATAAAAAATATTCATCAACGTTCTTGGAGCGTACATTTGTTTTGTAAGCTTTTTTCATATAATGTAAGTATTTATTATATAGTTTCAAGACATACCTTAAATTTTCTTAAAAGAAGTACATGGTTGAAATTTTCTTTGCTTAAAATGATATTTCTTCATAATTATTAAATGTGAAAAAAATCAAGAATTTGATATCGTACCTTAGTTTTTAAGTCATAAAGTGATTATTTTATAGATAGAAAGTATGATGTATGAAAAATTAAACTAAGAAATCGAATTTTAGAGGTAGTAGGGACGGCAAAAATTGAAAAGCCTACAGGCGGCAAATTTGTAAATCCGCCACTGGCGCTAACTATAAATGAAATCGGTCTTGGTTTGAACCTCATATCCTTAATATAATGAATTTCAATTCTTTGGTTGACGTTTTTCATATCAACTCAATATATTAAAGTTAGCTTTTTCCGTTGAGTATATATCATTTGACGATGATTTAGTTTAATACTTTATTGTAATGTTAAATATTATTCATATAAACATTTAGATATCATGATGTGGTTTTATAGCAAACACGAATGATATATTTATTCTCTCATATATGCAATATAAATAATTTTGAGAATATTCCGGTCGGATTGCAGGAAATGTCGATAAAATTACGCGAGATTATATCAAATAACATTTTGTCATTCGGTAATAAAAATTAGTGATATCGGGATGTACCTTCCCATATGAAGCATTACTACGATGAGTTTCATAGGTATGTTGATCTTAATATTAGTATTTCGGATACAAACAAATATATTGTTTAAGCTAATAAGAAATAAAATGTGATTGTAATCGACTTACAATTTAAAATCTTTTTCATCACCTCTATTAGATTGTAATCTAATTTCCACCCCTACTATTCCGCAAATTGCGAGAATATGTAATATTCGGCTTCGAATACTAATACCTATATATTTATAAATATATTCTTTCAGAGTTCTTAGGTGAAACACACGACCTAATAGGCGGGGCATTTTGGTAATAGCGTTAAGTATATTTTATCATAATAATATGATGTATACCCATTCAATGCTTTAGTATACATATATACTTACCTAATTTATTAAAGTATTCACTAACTTGATAGCAGACTCGTGACCTTCGTAATTCTGAAGACGCGGAATCTTTATAAAAATTCATTAAGTCCTTGATTGCTATTATTGAATTATATAGTCCTTCCCACTAATCAGATAGGAGTGTTAATTATATGTATATACAAGTTTACTTATAAGTACAATATATGTGAATGTATTAAATACGTGATTATGACTGAGCCTACAATATCCTTAGTGGTCCCAATCGTTGCTTCCTTCATTAGATTAAGGCAATCTCAAAACAAAGGGCCGCTCTGTCAAAAATTTTGTTTAGTACCAAACTACTCGGCGAGATGGACTATAAACTGTCGGTGTTGCTCAATGTCATTTTACACAGTCCTTTGTCAAGAATTAACTTTAGAAACTATCGCAAATCATATATAGTTATAAAGAAACTTACTCAAACTAAATGTATTAGAGAGTAAAAAGCAGATGGGGTGTTTACAACCAAATTAAATTACATTAAATTATATATGACCAGTTAAGATCTGATTCGAGCGGAAATTCTTCGAAAAATATACTAGCTTAAAAAAACAGAAAGGAATTGAAACTATGGAAGGATGACATGTAATAGCCTTACGATGTCGTGTCTTAAATTTTTTTCTTAACTCCCGAAGAGAATTTATGGATTCTACACAAGCACATCAGCCACTCAATTATCGAAGCTATGTTGCTCGCGCAATTAAAATACAATTTAATAAAAAAAGGTTTACCGATGTAAGTACACTAAACTGTAGAAAACACATAAACTTTTTTTTATTAACTTCATATATAAAATAATCATTATTCTTAATAAAATATGTACTTACATCGTCTAATGAGAATATTTCATAATTGTAATGACTTGCATTATTACTTAGAATATACTGCCCTCCTTTTTTAGATACAGCAAGAAAGGCACTAAAATTTCGTGAAAACGATCGAAATACTTTAAGAAAAATATATTATGTTAGTGTATGTATATAAATTGCAGTACACTTACGATCATCATACAATAATGTATTGTCGAAAATTGGTTCGATAAACGTTTCTATAAAATCTTCGAACATTTCTCCGTTGGCGATTGAAAGTTTCCTCGCTTTTGTTGTTTCAGGGTAAAGATCTGTCAAAGATGCTATAAATATACGGATAGATATATCTATTAGAGTACTTGAGACTATCTGCCAAATTAAGCAAGATAACTGCCATAATTTAAAACGAAAAATAACACTTCTTACGAACTTTGTGATGATTTTTGTTTATGTTGGTGTACCCTCTTTAATAATATGCCATATAATAATTTTGTTTCAATCACGTGCATTTTTTTGTGACAGCTACATATTCATTTCCAACCTTATATACGGGCGGTATAAGCACTAAATTAAGATACTACACTGTTAATTGGTAGAGGAGCTCACACTAGCAAAAGACCCCTGTGGGCTAAAAGTGGCGTGGTAAATGGTTTAATGTACATATCTTTCATACCGCTCAATCGAAATCCACCAACTTTGCTGAAAAGAATTATTTTTGGCATTTCTTCATACATTATGAAAATGGGCAAAATCAGATAATACCATGTTCATTCCCCATATAACGGTTGTGTTGAAAACTACAAAAAGTGTGATAACTTACTGAATAAATGCGCCACAACCAAGATGGTATCAATGAATTTATCAAAATAAAGCTTTGCACAAATAGTGTCGTCAAGTTATTTCATCATATGCCCAACAATTGTTGAAATCTGATCATAATTTTATAAAGACCCAAAGACATCAAATATGAGGACCCAAGTGCGTGTAACTGATTTTTTACCGAATATTTCGGTTAATCTGTTAGGTCTATTATTGAAATGCGTAGAGAATATTTTTCTGATGACATCCATACAACTTGTGAGAGTATAAAATGTTAGGTTACACCCGAACTTAACCCTTTCTTACTATAACTACAATTATACGACTGTATAACTATTGCATTCGACTAACTTACATCATATATACGTTTGTTACATCGTAAACATGCAGTTTTTTTCACGCCATTAAATGAACAGCGATATTTAAATTACATAGTGTCGAGCTGCCGATGGCAGTGGGTTTGAATATCTGAAAGAAAAATTTCGAAATTGAGCAAGGCAAAAATTAAAGTGAGAATAATTGTAGGTTCACAAATACGGCAACTGCTAGCGGATAAAACCTGTGAATAAAAACAGAATGATCAGGAAAAACTTGCTTGGATCGTTGTCCAAAATTTTCGAGAAATCATGATTCGGAAAACTTTAGAGACTTAATAAATGGACTTATAATGTCATATAAAAGAGTTGTAATGTGTTTCTAAATTCATTTCCGGCATTTAGATGCTGTGATTGACGAACAAGACGAGAGGCTCCATCAAGACATTTCCTTAATGGGGAAGCGCTATCATCAAGGGAATTAAGATGATGTCTGCACTTTTTATGAAAATATTGGTTTTGATGTCACAAGAAAACCAGATAATTGTTTTTTCATTCACATATTATTGTTAAGTGGCCCTGGTTTTCTTGTGACAAAAAAGTTAAAATTTTGTTAACAAGTGGTAATGTTATCAAACATGAGAAACGAGGATTCGGGTTCAGGTATGGAGAAAAACATAAATGGAGGTAATTTGTGGAGCAATTCTACATATTTTTGGCATTAGACTAGAGGATTTCCAATATTTTATATTCAGCCAATTTTACTAAGATATCTTACTTACTTGCTGATATATGCGATATAAAGTCAGCCGGAAGTTCGAAAACCTTTCTATTAGAATATACGGGCTAAGGGAATTATTGCCCGATTCAACCTCTTTTTGACATACAGACATATTTTTATCAGGAAAGGATTCTCTCCGAATTACTATAATATATCTCATAGATTGACCGATATTTTTAATAAAAAGTTCGCTGTGAGAACTGGAGTATATATATTTGGTACTGGCTTGAACAGTTTTGGTCCGATTATGATAATTTTTAATCATGAACTGGCACACCTTAAAGGCAGTATTATGGGGAGTGAAGAGGGTTATAATCTGATTTCATCCATTTACAGTGTCGTTAGGAGTGCTGAAGGTATTTGTCCCAAGCGAATTTGGTTATAATAGCTGGAACTGTTTCCGAGATATATACCAGATGCACTGGTATGAAGTTAGCGTTAAGATACAAATGTGTTAGTAAAGAACATTTCTTTTGAACGAGCCTTAATTTTTTTCTGTTTGGTTGGCATGACATCTGTCAAACATATTCAATAATCTTGCAGTCATTGAACAAAGAACATCATATGTTTTCATTGTGTTGAAAATGTCAAATTTTGTATTTAATTTTTTGTTTCTATTGAAAGAAAAGAGCTGCAGAGTTGCATCGAATGCTTGCCAACATATGGTGATCATGCTCTATCATAAACAACATGCAAAAGATGGTTTCAACGGTTCAGAGATGATTTTGATGTGAGAAATGAAGAACGTGGAAGACTACCAAAAAGGTTTGAAGACGCCGAACTGCAAGCAATATTGGATGAAGATGAAACTTTGAGTCAAAAGCAAACGGCAGCCATGTTAAATGGTGCACAATATACAATTTCAAACAAATTGAATGAAAGACAAATGGTAAACCAAAAAAACACTTTTGAAATTTCGCCTGTTTTTGTCACTGGCAATGAATAATGGATTTGGTAAGAAGGCAATACTCTGTGTTTGGTGGGATCAGAAGGGTGTATTTCATGAGCTTCTAAAACCTCGTAAAACTCTTAATACTTATCACTACAGACAACAAATTATCAATTTGAACAAGGCAGAAGATACGGCAAAGTAATTTTGTTACACGACAATGCACTTGCACACAAAGCAAAATCGATTCAGGATACAATCAAAGTACTTGGCTGGGAGCTGGTACCACACCCAGACTTGGCACATTCCGACTACCATTTGCTTTCATCGATGGGACACGCATTGGCTGAGCAGCACTCCGATTCCTAGGCAGAAATCGAAAATTGGGTGTCTGATTGATTTGTTTTAAAAACCGAACATTTCTATTGACATGGTATCCACAAATTTCCAGAAAGGCAGTTAAACTGTGTAAAAAGCAATAGTCAATACAGTTTTAATAAATTTTTTTTTTACTTTCCCATTCAAAATTAGTATTTCATTTTCAAAAAAAAAAAAAATGATTTCATACCGGTACACCTGGTATATTAAAACCATTGGATGGCGGGGCCACGCCCATTTCAAAATTATTAGCCTACAGTTGCTCCTTACTACTGCGAACCCATGTGCTAAATTACAGTTTTACATTTTTGTTTAGCGCTTAGTTATGGTACTTCACCACGTTTCATTACGATGTCTTAATTTTTACTCAAGTTAAAGCTTGCACATGCGGACTGACAGACCGACAGACAGCCAACCGGATTTCAACTCGTCTCTACACCATTAACTTATATACATAAGCCTATATAAATATATCTCAATTGGTTTGATACAAACAATCGTTAGGTGGACAGGACTATTATACTCTATAGCAACATGTTGCAAGAGCATAAAAATGGGAATTTTGAACTGTTGCGGCATTAGAAGTATACATATATTTCCAAAACTAAATTAATTATTTGCATCTGACAAGTCGAATTAAGATATAAACAAGGTGTACTTATGGAATTTGGTATAATAAAATTTACACAACAGTCTTCAACTTGCCAGAACTAGCTGGAGAGTAGCGAACAACGAACTGCTATAACTCTAATAGACTATTAGAGACGAGTACAAGGATACAAAAGCTATGTCAAGGATTACCTTACAATTATTAATTATTTTGTTCAAATAGCAACTCACGAGAATTCCTGCATCCATTCATTGAATCATTTCTTAAATTTTCAAAATTGTTGTCAAGAATTTCGATTATACGTTGCATTATCACAGCATCTTCGGTACTTGAATCATTCTTCGGCTTCTTATATAATTTTTTCAGATGATAAAGGTTTGTGAAAGTACTGAAAAGGAAGAGCCTATTGATGATATGAAATATGGAGAAGGTAAGTAATAAGTTATTTCGAGGAAAATTTCAAAATTGTCCAACACTTACGCTAATAATATGAGCGACAACAGAAGCAGTGAAGTTAGCAATAAAGTGCATAATTTTGGGTTTCTACTTAGCTCTGGTTTATATTTGTCTCGGTTGCAATACCACACTAAGAAAACAATCCTGAAAGTAAAGGATAAGCTTTGCAGCATACTAGTTCATTTCATGAAATACCGAAACCATCAAAATATGTTTTAAAAATTTTACTTGTAATCATCGTTTGAATGAACTAATTTTCTATATTCCGGTATCGGAAAGTAAAGTTAAAAAAAGTAAACTATTAGCTAAAACAAAGAAGTAAATAAGCATTATAATAATAAAACTAGTATTATATATAAAATATTGGATAAGAAGCGGTGGTTTGATTTGATTATAAAGCTAACTAATGCTACTTTAATTATTTCTTACAAGTGGATTACTTACGTTAGTAAAAATGTTAAAACACATAAAACAGCCAGTACTATAAGAATGTAGAATGAAGTGAATAAAGCGGTAAAATCTTGTTTCTTTGTTTTCGGACCATACTCATCTCCTTCCATGTATCCTATGAAGTAATACAATATAATATATGTAGATAATGCGCCTTGAACACGTATGGAAGTTCTATTTACAAAGGCAAACTTTTTCTCTCATACATATACGAAATAAAATTGTACTAAATATTTGAATATTGTCAAAACTTCTATATGAAAATGGATTAGAGAAATTTAAAAATTGTTCATATATAATGCAAGTATTATACTCAAGATATTCGCGACAACGTCGCAAGATGTTTAATTTAATATAATGTATTTAACTAATTTTTATTGGCCGATTATGTTGGATGTAAGGTGTTTTTAATGAATATGAAATTATTGTAAATATAATATATAGAACAAGTAAGGAAGAGCTAAGTTCGGGTGCAACCGAATATTTCATACTCTTTCAACTTGCTAGGATCAAAGCCAGGGAAATACCTTCAGGTGCATATATGGTTTGTTAGAACAAAGAAAATCAATATACAAGTATGTAGTATCTGATAGTTTGGGTAATTTCTGATTAAACTTGATATATATTCGGCACTAATCTATAGTATATCCAATATTATACTTCCTGTAAACTTTTCTAAGGTATCTTATTTGCTGAAATATGCGATACAAATTCAGCCAGTAGTACGAAAATAATTCTATTAGGTATATGGGGGCTAAAGGAATTATTGACCCAATAAAACATATTTTTGACATACAGGCATATTATAATATTATCAGAAAAGAATTATCTTCAAATTTCTATAACATATTTCACAGATTGACCGATATTTTAGATAAAATCCTCGCTGTAGGAACTGGGGTCCACATATTCAATACATGGGGGGTGCAATAGTTTTATTCCGATGTAGGCAATTTTTGGTAATAAGGTCGCCCAACGCAAAGGCACCGAGACATTCATTGGTTGATTTGCATACTGGAGAGTGAAAGAATCAGATGGAATTTAATATTGTGTTATATGGGAAGTAGGCGTGGTTTTAGTTCCATTTCGCCCATTTTCGCACTATAACAGAAATACCTATGAGAAAAGTGTCACGTATCGAATTTGGTTGGAATCGGTTAAGCAGATCCCAATATATGGGTTTTAACCTCAAAGTGGACGATGCCACGCCCACTGTCAAATTTTTAGGGGTTCCTCTCGCGAAATGTTGCTACAGATATAAATGGGTTTGTTCACCTAACGGTTGTTTGTATCACCTAAAACTATTCGAGTTAGCTATAGGGTTATCTATATATAATATAAATGATCAGAATGAAGAGACGAGTTGAAACCCGAAGAACGAGTTGACTGTCTGTCCGTTCGTGCAAGCTGTAACTTGAGTAAAAATAAATGGGCGTAATCGGACCGCTGACACGCACACAAAACGCCATTAATCAGAAACAAATAAATTGCTATAACTTAGCTCCACAAAAAGATACAAGACTGTTATTTGTTATATGTATATGATCACATTAGGGAGGGGCATCTGTAGTTTAATTTTTAAAATGAGCGTCGTCCCGCCCCCTAATAAATTTAATGTGCATATCTCCTAAACCGCTCAAGCTATAATAACAAAATTCACTGAGAACAAAATTTTTACCTCTATCGACAGTGTGAAAATGGGTGAAACCGGGTGGCAACCCCGCCCACTCCCCATATAACGGTACTGTTAAAAACTCCGAAAAGCTTGATAAGTCAAGCATTAAATACGCCAGAGACATTAAAATTTATCTCTGGGATGGTATGAGATGTTTTATAGGAACCGTGTTCAAAATCAGACAGTGGGCGTGGCACTGGCAATTTATATAAAATCAATTATAAGCGTATACAACAAAACACAAGAACGGTTTCTCATAATTTGAGTAAATTTAAGCTTGCAAATTGCTCTTATTAATTTCACAGTGAATGTAAATAACTGAGGCAACTTCTAATTATTAAAATATATAAAGAAATCTCAAACGAGTATACCATTTGACTTTGCGAGAGTAGAAAATGTTCGGTTACATCCGAACTTAGCCTTTTCTTACATGTTTCATAACAAAATTATAAGTCCATCACTTCTACAACCTTTCATTTGTCCAATAGCATGGAGGAACATTTTATAAATGGAAGTTAAAAAGTAAACTACTATTGAAATGAGTTCGACAACGATTGTCGGCACAAATATTTCGCATGGAATGTCGAAGTATATTATCCAGCTCCGGCTTTTTTCATTCCCACTTTTACGGTCGCTAGTTTTTCAATGAGTATGCTAGTTAAAATTCCGACTGTGCTTGTGTGACTAGCAGACTAACAGAGAAGGCTTAGAATAGCGATGGTTCTGAAAGTAGTCACCTAAAACTTTAAAAATAATATAATCTTACCCTCTGGTAATTTGTTAGTGCCAAAACCATTCAAAAATAATTGTGTCAACCCTTTAAATATCGGCTTCGGTAAACAATTCTGAGTGTCCGAGGGCATAACTCTTGCAATATACGTATTTCAGTTAAAAAATATTGAGGATCCCAAGCAATTTCGCAGTATTCTTGAATTTATTTTAAAATATATAATTTTTAAAACTTCGATAGTTAATATATTTCTATATATATAAACGTTTTGAATTTAGTAATGATAAAGTTTTTATAAATGATTTGTTAGAAGAAAATCCCGCACAAAATATTGTCGTGAAAATTTTATCTGAAAATAATGAAATGCTACTTTTTTCAATGCTCACACATTTCAGATATCATTTTAACATTCAATCAGAGAGCAACATGTGAAACGTAATTGAAAAGAACACTCAAGCTGTGTGTACATACATACTTGCACAAACTGTTTTCTTATACGAGTATAAGCAAGCTGAAGCAAAGCGTTTTTATAAACTCAATTCGAACTTGTCGCTCAAAAATACGTACTTACTGATATAGCTGCAATTGCTTTCACAAGATTTTATAATTTTTGGTAGTCATACCTTAAACACGAACATACTTCCGCGAAATAGAAACCACCAGTTTAGCCAGAATGTATTTTTCGAATAAATAAACAATTTTTAGTATCATTTTTGCCCTAATATGATTATTTAGACGAAAAAATACCAAACCTCTCTCGACAAAGTTATCGCACAACGGTTACGTTTGAAACGACATGGTACATATGGTATATATATAGGTTTCAACAAGTGCACAATCAAGGAAAATTTATTCCTTATCTTTTCTCTAAAATTGTACTATGAATTTCATTTAATACTTTAGCTATCCATTGAAAAGTCAAATGAACGTATGGATCCTTTATCAGTTTATGTTCAACAGATTTGTGGGATGTGAGGTCTAATGAAAGGTTAAAGTCCCATTTTTAAATAATCCATGCTTTACTTTGGTAATATAATAAAAACTTGTTTTGACAACCTCTGTTGTGCTGTTTTAGACTCCGGCCAATTAATTTTTTTGGATGAAAGTACCAAAGCAAATAATTAATGGTATATTTCGTGAACATTATGACATACAGGTTTAATAAAGGTTTTCTGGCCTAAAATTAAGAGAATGACGAAACAAACATAAACAAATTGAGTTGGAATATAATGAGGCTTGATGAAATATCAACAAACGTTCTTGGTTTCTATTCAACTGAATAACTTTGTTGGAGTGCTCCACTGTAGAGTTTTTGACAAGATAGCAAAGCTTAAAAAGCGCGCCGAGAAGTGTCTAACGAAGCGCCTATGTTAGGTAAGAAATAAAGAGAAATACATATAAATATATTTTTTAGCAATTCTAAACAATAATTTATCAATATAAAGATTACAAATTCTAAATATATTTTTCGTTTTCGGCTTGTTGTGCTCTTTTACCAGATTTTTTATTTTCACCTAAAAATATAACAATTATATAAAGAAAAGATGGGCAAATAATGTTGAATAGAATAGTATGGTCAGTGTAACGTAGTAGGTATGTAAATAAGAGCATATGTACTTACGAATCACTTAAATGCTTCCAGATTAATTGATTTTCTTAACTTTGTAGTTAACACGGGGATTTTCCTGTAGAGAGTTTATTACATGCTTTGGTAGTGTTATTGCTGGCAATACTATTGAATGGGCCAATTCATCGCTATCATCGCTTTCTCCATCTCTTCTGGAAAATTAAGTTTGATTAATAAAATTACTAGATATATGATATATTAACGCGAGTTTAAAGATCGGGAAATATTATCATCTTCCTTTATAATATGTGCATATACAGTTTATTATTACCTTGAAATCATACAATCATCTTCGCTACATTTGACGAACAGACACAGTAAGCATGGCAATAGCAGGAGAGCCAAAAGTGTGCCCAATAGGAATAAAATACTGCCAACCCATACACCGTTCTACAAATATGTATTTAAAATTGGAATTATTAAGTGAGATAATTTAAATTAGTTAAAGTTAAGACTATATACTTTGGTATTTTAAAAGAGAAATGCCGTTATATGGAAATTTTAATAGGTAGTCTTTTTTAATTCCATGAAGATTTCTAAGTTTTAGTCATATTTTCTTATATCCCATTTTGTAATACACATCCATGACGTGACTTTTAAGTATTGATATAAACTAGTCTATTGAACGTTTTATACTATTGTTGAAAGTTTTATAATGCCAGTCGCTTAAAATCTATATCCATCTATGGCTAAAATCGCTAAATGATGATTTTCGATTATTTTTTAGTTTTAATTAAATTAAAAAATTTTCGCATATAATTTGAAGAGGTGAAACATAACGTTCTTAATGATCAAAAAAATACCCACAAATTTTCAAATCTGACTACAGAAAACGCGCAATAGACCTAGTTAGTCTGACTTTTAGCATACTAATAAAGGTCAAAATTCGATTGTGAATATTGTCACACAGTTTTATGCGAGAATTCAGTTGCATCTTGATTTTGATATTGCACTAGATAAGCATGAAGTATGAAATTTACTAAAAACACGTGAGGAAGGGCTAAGTTCGGGTGTAACCGAACATTTTATACTCTTGCAACTTGCAAGGATATTAAAAAATGTTGCAAAACAATTCAATATTCATTATTCGAAGAAATTGTAAATGGATTACAATCAAATTTTGTATTTTATTAAGGTATATTTAGGTCACAGACTCACTTCGTTTATGACTATATTTTTCTTCCCGTCAGCTAAAATTGTAAAAACATCTTCAACTGATATATATGGGATCTAAACTCAACTGAAGAAACTAAATTTAATGTAACGAGTTGAGTTAAAATCGTCAACCAGAGGAGCGCAATTCATTATTTTAGAGATATACAAGTCTGTACATAAGTTTTGGACTTATGTCTAGACCAATTTCGTTCATATTCCCACACAATTTTTAAGAAAACTTGTTCATTTAATTTTGTTTAAGTATCTCATATTTGACATTGCTGAGGTATATTTGAGATGATATTTTCAAGCAATTTTATAAATACTAAGGTGCACAGCGGTCGAAATTCGAACAATAGAAAATACAATTTATTAGCAATGTGAATAGTATTTAAATTTTATTGAAGAATTTAAACAAAATATGAATAAAATCTAAAATAAGTTGTAGAAAACAAATTACAAAACAAACAGTTAACTAATCTATTACCACACTCCACGTATAAGATGACAACGAAAATAACAATAGAACAAGTAAGGAAGGGCTAAATTCGGATGTAACCGAACATTTTATACTCTCGCAAAGTCAAATGGTATACTCGTTTGAGATTTCTTTGTGGATTGACTGATATTTTCGGTAGAAGGTCCACTATAGGCACTGGGGTTCACATATTTAGTACTTAGGGGCTTGAACAGTTTTGGTTCGATTTAGACCATTTTTGGTCACAAGGTGGCATACTTTAAACGTATTATTCATGCACAGTTTTACCCTGATATAATCATTGTTGCTTGATATGCATAGTGGAAAGTGAAAGAATCAGATGGAATTGAAAATGGTGTTATATGGGAAATAGGTGTGGTTGTAGTCCGATTTCGCCCATTTTCGCAGCATAGAAATATGAAAAGAACGTTATGCACCGAATTTGGTTGAAATCGGTTAAGCAGATACTAAGATATGGGTTTTCACCTAAAAATGGGCGATGCCACGCCCACCGACTAATTTTGAACGCGGTTCCTATAAAGTCATCTCATACCATCCCAGAGATAAAATTTAATGTCTGTGGCGTGTTTAGTGCTTGGTTTATCGCGCTTTTAGTATTTTTTAACAGTACCGTTATATGAGGAGTGGGCGGGCTTGTCACCCGATTTCACCCACTTTCACACCGTCAATAGAGGTGCTAAAAGCATTTGTGCCCAGTGAATTTGGTTAACATAGCTTTAGCAGTTTAGGAGATATGCACATTAAACTTACTAGGGGCGGGACCACGCCCACTTTTTAAAAAAAAATTTAACTGCAGATGTCCCTCCCTAATGTGATCCTTTGGACCAAATAACAGTCTTGTATCTTATTGCGGAGCTTAGGTATGACAATTTATTAATGGCGTTTTGTGGGCGTGGCAGTGGTCCGATCGGTACCAAGAAACATGTGTACCAAGTTTCATGAAGATATCTCAAGTTTTACTCAAGTTACAGCTTGCACGGACGGACGGACAGACAGTCACCCGGATTTCAACTCGTCTCTTCATCCTGATCATTTATATATACATAATCCTATATCTAACTCGATAAGTTTTAGGTTATACAAACAACCGTTACTGAACAAAACTATTATACTCTGTAGCAACAAGTTGCATTTTTATCTGTTTCAATATCAATTTAAAGAGATGAAGTACAGATGGCGCTATTCTATAACGCCAACTCTTACATCGAAAGTGATGAATTTTTAAATCTAAAACCTTACGTAATACAAAATTCACTACCCTCCCTGCCCATGGTAAGAAGTTATAAGATTCATAAACACCCCCCCTCCCTAAACGCCTTACATAATTTATAAATGCTATCTTAGAATATTACCTCAGCGCCATCTACCATTCGAACCTGCAACTCAAATATATTTTTGAATATCTGACACAACTGCAGCACAGTCTGCCGGAATTCTGTGTAAAACGTTTTAACATCAACAACAATTTAAAAAATAAATAAATTCATTGTTAAAACATTATCTAGTTGATCAAATTGGGAATCTAAATCATCCTCGACGCCCCTTGAACTCACACAAAAAATTTTATCAAAATCGGTCCAGCCGTCTAGGAGGAGTTCAGTGACATACACACGCACAGAAGAAGTATATATATAAAGATTATCGTGCTAAATCATTTCTTCTGTTTCTAGTTTTTGCTTAAATCTTCCTTGAATGAACAATCGAATCAAATCGGTCAATTTGAATTTGTTGTCATATGTGGCCACGTAGGTATCTGCGAAAGGATGCCAAAATAATTAGTATAGGATATTGATGAATTGTTTGAATGAAATACCAATGAAGTCTCGAACTGATGCGCCATTTTGAAATCTTTTCAACAAAAAAGTTATCGGCATAGGAATCCGCAATTTCAGCATAGGAATCCGCAAATACAGCACCTTATCCTGAAGAAATTCAACATTCTGATACAATTGATCGCGTTCATTCCCTAACAGAATTTAGCTTGTATTGCAACACTCAAAGTCCAAACACAATTAAAAATGAAAAACAATCGCAACCACAAATCCGCCGTAAACAATAAACGTTACACAATTGTTCGATATATGTATTTGCCACTTATACAGAACAGCGATTTCTGTAACGCGCCACCGCGCTTGTAGTTGTGTAGTCGCCGAATTTGCGCCAACGCATTTTTACCTGTGATCCAGTTGTGCCGTTCTACATGTTTTCTCCTTTCCAACGGTATACATTTTATTTATATATGTTAACGGTAACATAGTCAAAAAGGGAACATAAACATAAGATATAACTCACACCTGAAAGACATAAGGTTGATAAAAATAACGAAAATAAATATATATAGAATTTGGGAGTTGCGGTAATTCGTAGACTAAATTCACATATTTTTTAAACTGCTTGTATAGTATATCCAGTATTATACGTTCAGTTAATTTTGCTAAGATATCTTACACATTGACTGTTATCTTGTACTTGTATATGGTATATGGCATACGGCCAACCAGAAATTTGAAATTCTTATATAAGGTATGTGAGAGATAAGGGTAATATTGACACGATTTTATAAATTTTGGGCAATACAACATACTATTAACATAATAAAATGTTCGCAGAGTTTCATTAAGGTACTTCACTTACCATCACCAAGATACATGGAGTAAAATCAACCGGATGTTTGAATATTCTGTGATTAGTTATATGAGGGCTAGGTCAAGTTTTCACCCGATTTTACTTATTTTTGGCATTGAGGTAACTTACATATTGGCTGATGTATGCGATATAAAGTTACCCGGAAGTTCGAAACTCTTTATATTAGGTATATGGGGCTAAGGGAAATATTGACCCGATTCAACCCATTTTTAACATTCAGACATTCATCATTAGGAAAGCATTCTCTCAGAGTTTAATATTATATGTATATCTTACACATTGACTGATATTTTCGTTAAAATGTTAACTGTAGGCACTGGGGTCCACATATTCGGTACCTAGAGGCCTGAACAGTTTTGGTTCGATTTGAACAGTTTTTGGTTAGGGACTTTCTAATTATATTAATTGGTGTTTTATTTGTGCACTGGAATGTAAAAAAATCAGATATAATTTAAAATTGCGTTATATGGGTAGTAGCCGTGGCTGTAATCCGATTTCCTCCGTTTTCGCACTCTAAGATGGCAATATTGTAAGAATGCTATGTAGTAAATTTGGTTGAGATTCACCTAAAAGTGAGCGGTGCCCACCGTCCAAATTTGATACCCGCTCCTATAAAGCCCTCTTGTGCTAACCTGGGTGTATAATTTAGTGTCTCTGACGTTATTGATTTATCACACTCCTCGTAGTTTTTAACAAAATCGGTACATGGGGAGTGGGCGGCATTATCATCCGATTTTACCTATTTTCACACTATCGTAAGGGTTGAAAATATTTGTTGCGTTCAAATTTGGGTGATATAGCTTTATTGGTTTGAGGGAGATACATTAAACTTATTACGGGGCGGGCCACTCCCACTTTTTAAATATTTTCAAACCACGAGTGCCCCTCCTTAATTAGATTCGTAGTGCCGAATTTGTGTTCTGTATTTTAATTAACGGCTTAGTTATAGCATCTTATACGTTTTCGATTAATGCCGTTTTGTTTGCGAGGTAGTGGACCGATAATGCCCATCTACGTACACGTTCTTAGTTTTGTGCCAAGGAACATGTGTACCAAGTTGCAATAAGATATCTTAATTTTTACTCAAGTTACAGCTTGCACGGACGGATAGATATCCGGATTCAACTCGTCTCATCATCCTGATCATTTATATATAACATAATATATATACTCTGTAGAAACATGTTGCAAGAGTATAAATATGTTATGAACCTTTCTCTCCATTTATAAATGTCGCTATATATTTCATGTTCAATACATTTGAATAATTTGTCGGTATGTCCTCTCGAAAGGAAGTAAATTTGAATTAATTGCATTATATAGTTTTGTATTGTGTGTCTGTACTTACCAATATGTACGATTCACAGTTACAGAACTCTTTTTGTTTTGTCCTTGCAGAGCTAAGCATAACATCACAGGGTCCAAGCACTTGCTTAAGCTTGTTTTCAGAATTTGTTTTAAACGCAATTACATCCTCAACGATGTGTGAGATTTCTCTTCCATATGCCTCACAAGAGCGAACAGTAGTTTCACACAACGAATTTGATTCATCGTAGGCAGCTTGTAACGATTTGGAAAATTGTTTACCCGCTTTATAACCAGTAGTGCACCGTGTATAGTCTTCTGGAGGCAGCTTTGAAACTTCTGTCCCTTTTTTTGCCATATCCAAAAGGCAAAGCGTTCTATTTTTACTTTAATTTGATTAAACAGAAATAGTAACAATGGTGATTATAATATAAAAACTAAGTAAGGAAGATTATACTATTGTATATACAGTCACAATTTGGAGGAATCACAACATAGACTTCAGACTTGGCTATTAGACAAAATTTTGAATTGGCTGATATCTTATTAGCCTAAATTATTTAATTGGTTTCATCCTTAATTATAAGTGCAAGAGTTTGAAAATTAGTAGAAAATAATATTCGAAAATGCGGGTATCAATCAGATTGATATCCAGATTTTATCGGTACCAACATATACTCGAATATACGGATATTGACTATCTTAGCTAACATTTTACGCTTATCATAATGTGATTTTATTCCAAATAAGGATACTACAAAATAATGTACTACTATCTGTAGTCGCAGTCTTAATTTAAAATTTCCGAAAAATTCAATTATATGTGGGATATATCTAATATGAGGTTTCTCTTTCTTGCTTACTTATTGGCTATACTCTTGTCAATGATGAGATCTAGCCACGATTGGTTTAATGCGTCATATTCACAAAAATTTTTTTTTGGATAATTCTTTTCATATTCAAGCACTTTTTTTATACATTCCCGATCCAAAATGGTGCAAGTGTCCTTGCAATCGTCAATTATTTCAGTTTCATCGATGGTATCCCATTCAGATAAACTGATTATCCAATGATTGTCTGTCAATAAATTGTATACATTCTGATTGTCCGTGCATTGCTTGTGCATCGAATAAATGAAACTATCCGCTTTTATTCTGTAAAGATACGTTAAACGTGTAAATATACATAATATAGAACTGTAACCATAAAGGTGAAAGTATGATAAATGGAGCTATCGCAGTGCGAGATCATGTACCTTGTACTATCTTTACACAATCCATTATAATCAATAACTCCATAGAAGAAATGGAAAAACGTAACGAAAGCCATGAGAATGAAAGCCAATGTAAGAATTATAAAGATACTGAAATCGTCAGGTGGGGAAAACATAATACAAGAAAATTTTAGAAATTATTGAAATATTGTTTGTGGGACTTACAATATGAGAGGTTTGATCATAGTTTTAAATTTTAAACACAAACTGCACAATAGAAGTATTAGAAAAAGGACAAGAACCTGCAAATAGATGAGAACATTTACTTTTAAAAAATTCAGTTAAGAGTTGAAAATTTTAAAACATATCAATAAAAACGCTGCGCAAGGTTTCTTCTAGGCACGATAGTATGATCGATCGATATTAATATCGATAGAAATTGTGTTTCGCAACAAAAGATATAGGGTTATATATTATACTAGCTATTTCCGCGTCTGTGCTCGCATTGAATCCCTTAAATAAATATTAAAGATTATTAAACATATTGTATGTACACGAATACCATAATGCTATTATCAACTTGGTGGTGGTGGTATTTTTTTGATTTACGTTTTTGATGCATTTTTGTTTTCTTACATTTTAAAATTTTTCGACAAACAATCATATCTGCCAAACTTTTTTTTTTCAAAAATTAAAATTTTAAAATTTATTTTACAAACAGATATGATCTTCCAAAATTATTTTTTTAACCATCCGTAAAATTTTTATATATATTTTAATAAAAAGTATCCTATGTTGATTCTGATACCTCCAAGAGTATGTGTTCCTAGTTTCATGATGATCGGTTAAGTAGTTTTTGCGTGAAAGCGTAACAAACAAACGGACTTTCGCATTTATAATATTAGTATAGAAGTATAGATATTATTATTATATATATATATATGTATTATAAGTAGGGATTTATAAATGAGCAGGATGACGAGACAAGTTTAAATCTGAGTGACTGACTAAAATACAAAACCGTAATTTGGTACACACAATCGCGATGATGAAGGGGCACCTGTAGTTTGAAACTTTTTTCAAAGTGGGCGTGGCTCCTCCCCCTAATAGGTTTAATGTATATACATACACTTCAAACCATTCAAGCTATATCTGTCAAATTTGCACAGGACATATTATTTTGACACCTCTTGCGACAGCATGAAAATAGGTGAAATCGGATGACAAATACAACCACTCCCTATTTAACGGTTTGGTTACTACTACTACTGAAACTGCGGTAATAACGAAATGCGTCAGAAACATAAAATTTTGTGCCTTAGATGATATAAAAAGGCTTTATAGGAGCAGGGGTCAAAATTGGACAATGGGCATGATACAGCCCATATTTAGTTGAAACCACATATCACCGAACCTACTCCATCCATTTCAACCAAATTATGTGTATAAAATTACTTTGACATTCCCATGTTACAGTGTGAAAATGGGCGAAATTAGACAGTAATTACGCTTACTCCCATATAACATAACTTTAAATTCCATCTGATTTTTTTCATTTTCAAGTATACAAATGAAGCACTAATTAATAAATCGGGATAAAATTAGCACGAATATTTCTTGTGATGTATGTCCCCATAGGTTTAAAAATTTTCAAAAGTAAAAGTTTTCGGAATTTTCGATGTTTGTAATTTTCCGAAAGCTTGCTGTTCAAGATATTTTTGATAGTGGTTTAAAATTTTTAATTCAATTAAGCGAGTGCAATATTAAAAAATTGATGTGTGTTTTTTAGACATTTTTAAGAGCATCAATATTTTAAAGAACGGGAGGTAGAAATACGCCCACTTTTTAATTTTATTTATGCTTAATACATTTGTGTGCGTACTAATAATCCAACCTCAATATTTTTTTACAGCTATATCTTAAGGAAATTCTCTATACCACTGCTAAATCACCCAACGTACATTCTATTTATATATACATACATATGTATTCATACTTCGGTGTCCGTTTCGGCCCAAGATGATTTTTTTTTACAAAGGATGATGAGACTAGTTGAAATCCGGGTGACTGTCTGTCCGTCCGTCCGTCCGTCCGTCCGTGCAAGCTGTAACTTGAGTAAAAATTGAGATATCTTTATGAAACTTGGTGCACATGTTTCTTGGTACAGTAAGACGGTTGGTATTGCAGATGGGCGTAATCGGACCACTGCCACGCCTACAAAACGCCATTAATCAAAAACAAATAAATTGTCATAACTAAGCTCCGCAATAAGATACAAGACTGTTATTTGGTACACGAGATCACATTAGGGAGGGGCATCTGCAGTTAAAAGTTTTTTTTTAAAGGGCGTGGTCTCGCCCCTAATAGGTTTAATGTGCATATCTCCTAAACTACTAAAGCTATTATAACAAAATTCACTGGAAGCAAATGTATTAGCACCTCTACCTACTGTGTGAAAATGGGTGAAATCGAGTGACAACCCCGCCCACTCCCCATGTAACGGTACTGTTAAAAACTACTAAAAGCGCAACAGTGGGAGCATTTTATTAGTCTGTGGCATGTTAGTAGTATGTGGTATTGGAAAAAATTAATAAAATCGGGTTAATACTGCCCTCAAATTCCATATACTACTTATAATGCTTTTCGTTATTCTAACCAGTTTTATGCCGAATATGTCGGTCAGTGAGTATTACTTTTTTTTTTATATATATAAAATTGCTTCAAAATATGTTCTCGAGTATAGCTGAGCAATGTCGAAATTAATATATTTCTCTATCCCCAATATATATATGATTTCCGTCTTTCCACCTGACTTTACACCGTTCCGGTTGATCAACGTGATATTTTAACGAAATTAAGTGGGAAAGATTTCTTAAAAATTATGTGGTTTGACGCTGAATTAGAATGAAATTAGTATATACTAAGTATAAACCTCACACCTTCATATAATGAATTCCGATTCTCTGGTTGACGTTTGCCACCTAAGCTTATAATATAAAATTTAGCCACTTTGGTGGAGTTAATATCACATTCATACTTATGTATGTCTCACTTCAAGCAATAAAACTGAGACTAAGTTTATGGCCTTTAATATAAGTCAAGAAGATACCAAATTGGATTGTAATTTAATCACGATATCATTTAATAATGGATGTTTAATTCAACATTTTTTAATATACGGTTTGGAGGAATTTTCTGGTCTTTGATTTTCCCAGCTCACATGAACTACTTATGGTATAATTTTTTTCGTCAATTTGATAATTTAATGAAATTACATAAACAGTTTTTCTTAAAAATAATGTATATCGCTGCATATGAATCAAATTGGTCTAGACTTTGTTTAAACCTTATAACCCTAATATACTGATTTCCGCTCCTCTGGTACAACAGCAACCTCATATCCCCACATATTAAATCTAACCCCTTTGGTTCAGTTTATATCACATATACCATGTTTGAGTTAAATAGCTTCTTTTTATAAAAGTTAACATTTCGGAGAAAAAAATAGTATTAACACAAAATAAATATATGATCAATAACATAAGTTAATAATATACCAAATAATAATGGAGTAATGAATGTTGAATTCTTTCGCAAAATTTTTATACTTTCGCAACATGTTGCAACAGAGTATAGTTTTGTTCACCAAAGAGTTGTTTGCATCACCTAAAGTGATAGATATAGATTTCTATATACATATATTTCTTCGATTATTTGGTGATAATCAGTGGTTAGGTATATTTTCTCAGCCATCATGTTGAACTTATTATAAAATATACCAGACAACAATGCTAAAAAAGTTTCTAAGAGTGCTGGACTTTGTATAGAGCAAAAAAATCTTTCTAGATAAAATTGCATGAAATAAATATTAGTAATGTAGTATAAAAAGGGCTAAATACCCTTTTTATGTGGTTATAGATAAACAGCGACCATCTGTTTATATGCTACTGTCTATTATTTCAGTTTTGCGACACATTTTAATATGAAGGTCATGAGGTGAACTGTAAACTCAAGAAAATTACATTTTTACCTAGCGCCGTTGGCAGCTTATGAAAGGTTTAGATATTAAGACAGAAAGAAGAAAATCTACATACCTGCTCTACATATGTGTATACCATACCTTATTATATGTAAGTTATTGTTAATTTAGCCTTCATGGGTAGACCCTTCTAAATAGGTACCATAGATCCCCCTGTTTTAGAAAGCGTTTAACAAAAGTAATTTACGGAGGGGTTTTCCGAGAACTTTATTTCAATACAATGAAATAAACTACTAATTTCTAAAATATAAATATAACTAAATATTATGTATTATTATGTTAGTGAATAGCTAAGTTATATATAGGTATACAAAAGTACGTAAGCTGTACCAACATGTTGCAAGAGTATAAAAAATATCCGTACACTGTGTTTGTAGTTTCAGTTTCACTAGATGTCTTTACCAGCAAAGTGCTTTATTCAAACTAATTTTAGTGTATTGGTTATATAGTGTTTAAAGTATTATTATATACAGTGACGAGCAAAACCGTATTATATACAGTGGCGAGCAAACACTTATACATATGTGCACCAGTATACCATAGTACCTAAACACGGAACAGGAAAGGAGTCATAGCAAGGAATTACAGTGAAAGGGAGCAGCACCTAGGATCCAACTTTTAACACCCGGACGGACTGAATTATATAAGTATTATCTATAAGTATTTTATATATTATATTAATCCATTTATTATTAATTAATTATGCCTAGATTAAATAGAAAATCTATATTACTAAGTCGTCTTCAGAATAGAAGACGTATGAGAGTTCTTCGTGCAAACTCTTTATATAGAGATAGTGAGCAGTCACAAAATACTGTAAGTCACGCTAATCGTAGATTAGTTTCCGATGTACGTCTGTCCGAACAAATTATCAATACAAATCAACAAAGAACCAGGCGGGAAAATCCGCAAATTCGCTCTGAAGAGCAAATAAGAGATACTCGAGGTCATAGATCTCGGCGTGAAGACCCCGAGGTTCGATCTGTTGCGCAAGTTGCAAATACTGTTTAACATAGAACAAGGCGGCAAGATCCCCAAATTCGCCCTGAAGAGCAAATAAGAAATACTCGAGGTCATAGGTCTAAGCGTTAAGACCCCGAGGTACGATCTGTTGAGCAAATTGCAAATACTGTTCAACATAGAACAAGGAGGCAAGATCCCTAAATTCGCTCTGAAGAGCAAATAAGAAATACTCGAGGTCATGGATCTCGGCGTGAAGACCCCGAGGTTCGATCTGTTGAGCAAGTTGCAAAAACTGTTCAACATAGA